TGAGTTCAATCCCTGGGACTCACATGGTGGAAGGAAAAAAAACAACTCCCCAAGTCATCCTCTGACCTTCACAGAAGAACACACACTATACTACACACACAAACACACAGCACACACATAACACATACACAATACACACACACACACACACAAAATTAGAAATAATAAATAAATAAATGTAGTCAGACTGTCTTTGGGCAGCCAGCTCCCAAACAATAACAAAGAGACTTCTTATTAAGTAAGAAAGCCTGGCCTTAGCTTAGACTTGTTCCCAACTAGCTCTTACAACTTATATTAACTCATTTATATTAATCCATGGTCTGCCACTTGGTTTGTTAAGTCTTCTCAGTACAGAATGTCCAACTTCCTCCATGTCTGACTGGTGAGACATCCTCCCCCCAGCCCCCCCCTTCCTCTCTCTTCACAAGTCCCACCTATCTTCTCTTGCCTAGTTATTGGCCATTCAGCTCTTTATTAAACCAATCAGAATGTGTCTTAGGAAAGTGAGGTAAAACAGAGACATCTTCACACAGTGTGATCAAATATCCCACAACAACAAAAATAAATAAATAAATAAATACTAAAAAAAAGATCTTCAGGATACCTCAGTAAGCCTGGAATGGTAATACAAATTGATAATCCCTAACTCTAGTACCCAAAAAGTTTAGTAAGAAAGATTGCCATCAGTTCTGGCCTAGCCTTGGCTTCATACTGAGTATCAAGCTTGTTGGGGCTATATAGACCCATCTCAATAAATAAATAAATAAATAAATAAATAAATAAAAATTTACTAACTGAAAAAGCAAGTAAAGTTCAGAAAAATGTATAATATATTACCTTTTGAGGGAGAAACCAGCCAAAATAATATATAACACCATTTGTATATTCACAAGGCAATTCTGGAATGATAATACTTATATTACAAGGCAGGCCTAACTTTTGGCAATCTGGGCAGATAGGAAAAGGATAGGTTTTGATTTTGTTTTGTTTAGTTTTTGGGTTTGTTTGTTTGTTTGGGATGTTTGTTTGTTTGTTTGTTTGTTTAGTTTGGTTTTTCGAGACAGGGTTTCTCTGTGGCTTTGGAGGCTGTCCTGGAATAGCTCTTGTAGACCAGGCTGGTCTCGAACTCACAGAGATCTGCCTACCTCTGCCTGGGATTAAAGGCATGCACCACCGCCGCCCATCGCGATTGTTTCCTTTTTGAGACAAGCTGTCACTGTGTAGGCCTGGCTATCTTGGAACTCACTCTGTAGACCACAATGGACTTGAACTCACAAAGATCTGTCTGCTTCTGCCTACCAAGCACTCAGATCAAAGGTGTGCACTACCATGACCAGCCCTTGGTTTTAGTTTTCTTGAGTCAGTGTTCTTATTTTGAACTTGGAATATAGCCAAGACTGGCCTTCAACTCCTGATCCTCCTGCCTCCACTTCTCAAGTAGAATAGAAAATGTTTTTAGGTCTACTCAAAGTAAAATGGGCTACTGGGGGATCCTTAGGTGTAGTTACCAGGCCTAGTGAAGTGACTATGCACATATCCACAGGGACTTGGCAGAGCTGGTACTGGTGTGGTTATACATGTTATGTTCTGTTTTGGACCCAGATGACTAGATACATTGGATGTAAATATGGCTGTGGTTTTGACTGTTTCTAGATTTATTGTGCGTGTGTGTTTTGCCTGAATGTATGCATTGCATCACATATGTGTCTAGTGCAGGAAAAGTCAGAAGAAGGTATCAGATCCTCTGAAACTGGAGTTACATATAGTTGTGAGCCACCAGACAGGTGGTGGGAACCAACTCCAGGTCCTCTGCAAAAAAGGGAAATGCTCTTACCACAGAGTCATCTCCCCAACCCTTTGGGCAAATATGATGCCTACTCTTGGTTGTTACCTTGATTGTATCTGGAATGAATTATAATCCAGAAATGGAGGGCACACCTCCATTGTGATCTGGATTTTAAGGCAGGAAGACAACATGATTTTAATCCAGATCTTGAGATAGGAAGGTGCACCTTTAATCTGGGCCACGCCTTCTGCTGGAAGCCTGCTTGCCCTCACCTTGCAACACATCCATTCCCTCAGTGGAGCCTACTTCTTTGGGACTCCAGCATATACAGAAGACCAGCTGAGACACCCAGCCTCGTACGACAGATCATTCTTTGATTTTCCATTCCTAGATAGGCATTGTTGGGTTAGTTGGACTGCAGCCTATAAGTCATTTCAAATAAATTCTGTGACTCCAGAGAACCCTAATATAGTTTTTGTTTGTTTTTTTTGAGACAGGGTTTCTATGTGTAGCCTGGCTGTCCTGGAACTCTCTCTGTAGACCAGGCTGGCCTCGGACTCACAGATCAGCCTGCCTCTGCCTCCCAAGTGCTGGAATTAAATGAGTGCACCACCACCACCTAGCTCTAATTTTTTGAAGTTTTAATTTTATATATGAGTGTGTGTATGTGCAAGTGCCAACAAACAAGAGGCCAGAAGGCATTTGATTCCCTGCACTTGGGGTTGTGAGCTGGTTATGGATGCTGAGAACTGAACTCAGGTTTTTTGCAAGAACATGAAGCACTCAATTGCTGAACCATTACTCTTGCTTCAAACCCCTATCTCCTGATTCCAAACATTTCACTGTTTCATTTTGTAACTTAAACTTTTTTGTTTGTTCTTAGGATTGTTTTTGTTTTTCATGTTTATCATCAATAGCTGGAACTGGCCTGGAACTCCTGTTCCTCCATCCTCTGCCTCCACGCCGGGATGACAGCTGTGTGCCACCGTATCTGACTTATAAGACTTATTTTTATTTATTTATTTATTTATTTATTTATTTATTTATTTATTTTTTTCGAGACAGGGTTTCTCTGTGTAGCTTTGGAGCCTATCCTGGCACTCACTCTGGAGACCAAGCTGGCCTCGAACTCACCGAGATCCGCCTGCCTCTGCCTCCTGAGTGTTGGGATTAAAGGCGTGCGCCACCAATGCCCAGCTCCTGGGTCATTCTTGCCATATTGCAGTTACAGACCTCCTGTAGGGGCAGAGTTTGGAATATCAATGTGTATTTATAAAGGTTTTCTTGTCCCCTGAGCAAATCTTGAGATTTGCTGTGAGCCCATTGTTTCTGTTGTTAGACAGACAGCGGTGTGTCATGTACAAGACCTTGGTGGTTTTCTGGCGATTGTCTTCATAGATCTGTGATTCTATTTCTTTCTCAACATTTTAGTTAGTATAGGTAATTTGACTTTGAAGTCCCATTACTGTGTCATTCCCCACAGGTTCTTTCTCTGCCCCTTTATTTTGTAGTACTAGCAACCTCCAGCGCCTCCTGCATGCCCTGCCACTCCCATCCACTTCAGGGTTGGCCTGGAACTCACTATGTATCCCAGGTTATCCTTGATCGCACCATCTTCCTTCTTCAGCCTCCTGAGGGCTGGAATTAATCATAGCTGTGCCTGGACTCCTTTCAGATCAGTTTAATCTTTCCCCCTCCCTTTTGCCCATCACTCTAAACTCTACTTTTGCTTCAGAAGAAATATATTTGCTAACCTTTTGCCCCTAGTAAAGCTCCAATGATTGAAAATACAGAACCAATCCTATTTCATCCGTGAGAAAAATGAGGAGAAGTGACCCTGGTCCCTACCTCTGTTTTGAGATCCTAAAGGCAGAGATCAACAGATGAGAGGCCTAGGAGTTGCCCTGTAGGTATACAGTTGTCTTCATAGGAAAGTGCTCATTTGAAGTGTGAGAAGGCTGTGGGCTGAGCAGGTGAGCCCATTTTCTCTTGGCCACAGCTTATACACAGGTACTCCCATGCCTGGTATTCAGCCAGAAAGTCCAGATGACCCTGGTGAGCTTCTCTGTAACGGAGATGGCAGGAGCTGGAAGCCCAAAGACTGCAGTCTACTTTCTCTACCCAGAATCAGGAGCAGGTGAACTTTCATGATAGATGTGGAGCTCTTTTTTTTTTTTCTTAAAGATTTTTTATTTATTATGTATACAATATTCTGCTTCCATTTATATCTGCACACCAGAAGAGGGCACCAGATCTCGTAACGGATGGTTGTGAGCCACCATGTGGTTGCTGGGAATTGAACTCAGGACCTCTGGAAGAGCAGTCAGTGCTCTTAACCTCTGAGCCATCTCTCCAGCCCATAATGTGGAACTCTTTAAATGTTCAATTGTATATTGCTAAGAACACTACTGGAGGCTTACTTCTGGTAAGGGTTAGATTTGGTATCTTGCATCTTTCTGTAATATTAGAGCCCCTGCTACTGTGAAGTAAAACTGGATAAATTCTGACACAGCTGAACAGAGATTCCATTGACTGGCTTCTGGGCAACTCAGGCCATTGGGGACAACTTAGATTTTGCAAATGCTGTGATAGATGGGATAGGAGGCTGGGGGGTGGAGACATAGCTCAGCAGTTAACAGCTCTTGCTGCTTTTCCAGAGGTCCTGAGTTTGGCTCCTAACACCCACATCAGACAACTCACAACAGCCTGTAACTCCAGTTGCAGGGTGTCTGACACCCTCTTCTGAGAACACACACACACACACACACACAGAGAGCCATTATTAGCAGGCCCTTGAAGCTTTCTGAGCCCCTGGTCTAATCTGTATAGCATGGATTTCTTGGCCTGCAGATTCACTCTTTCTTCCCAGCCAGAAGTAAGACCTTTGTACATGGTAATAGGGAGCTTTACAGTTTATATCCCAGTGCAATAGGAAAAAGTTGGAACTGTTTACATTGGTGACATTTATAAACTGGCATTTTAAAAGTTTTTATTGTTTTTATTTAAATATAATAGTTTTATTAATTCTTTGAGAATTCCATATGTACAGACAATTTATTTTGGTCATATTCACACTCCACACACATACACTAAAAGGCCCTTGTTATTGCTAGGCATGCCTGTCTGAGATGCCAGCTCTTATGAGTCTAGTGAAAAGGGAGTTTTCATGAGTTCCCAGCCTGGGCCTCTGCTGGAGACCAGGACTGCTTTGTCATTTTTTTTTTTTTTTAAGTGTGGAGGTCTGCAGGCTTGTTTTGTTTCAGCCTCCTGCATAGGTAACATACAGGTCTTACTCAGCTGTCATGTTATTTATTTAGTTATTAAGACAAGGGAGGCGGGGGTTGTTGGTGGGGAACATGGGAAGATGGGAGGGCTAGGAAGAACTTCAAGAAAATAAAATGATATGAGATATAACAAATCAAGGTAAAAGAGAGGGAAAATTCAAAAAAAAAAAAGAAAAGAAAAAGAAAAAAAAGACAAGGTCTCACATATCTCAGACAAGCCTGGAACTTTCTAAGTACCTGAGAAAGACTTTTTTTTCCCCCGAGACAGGGTTTCTCTGTGGCTTTGGAGGCTGTCCTGGAACTAGCTCTTGTAGACCAGGCTGGCCTCGAACTCACAGAGATCCACCTGCCTCTGCCTCCCGAGTGCTGGGATTAAAGGCGTGTGACCAGCCGACCCTGAATTCTTGATCCTTCTGTCTATACCTCCCAAATGCTGGGATTACAGGCATGTGCCACTTACCATATCTAGTTTTATAGTTTTTTCATAAAATGGACTTAAAAATTTAACCTTTATTTTTATTTTATGTGTTTGGGTGTTATCATTATGTAGATCTTGTTTAGGTAATCAGATTGCTGAAACTTCATGGGTGTAGCTTCCCTGTTATGTTGAGAAGACACTACCAAGCAGCAGGTGTCCTTGTCTTCTGGCTTCCACAATCTTTCTGCCTCCTCTTCTGCAAAGTTCCAAGAGCTTTAAGTGCAGGGATTGTGTTGTAGCCTGGGCCCCTGTTCTCCAAGCTCTGTCCAGCTGTGGGTCTCTACAGTAGCCCTCTTCTGCATAGAAAGAAGCTACTTTGAAGATGGGTGAGTGCTGCACTGACCTGTGGGTGTAAGGATAGCCATTTAGGACTATATTTATTTAGGAAAATGACAGCAGTAGTTTCTCTTCTGGGGTATATGACTTCTCTAGCCAAATTGGCTATAGCAAGCATGAATTCCCTCTTACCTTAAAGACATTAAATCCAATTAGACAGCTGTTGGTTAGTCCCAAGGGAAAAAATGCCATATCACCACTGGGGATGTCTTGCAACGTTGCTCATTGTTGTGGTTCTTAGGCTTAACAACCAGGTAAGAGTACTGATTTCGTGCACAGCATCTTCTAATACTATGAGAGCCAGTCCTCAGGAAAGAGGTTTCTGGGTCAGTTCTGCCTTGATTCCTCCAAGTCCTGTGGCAGAAGTGTATGGTGTCTTCAGGAATAGGGTCTTACCTTTAAGTTCTGGGAGATAACCAAGGGCCATGACAATAACCTATATTGTTTTGAGAGTTTGGATTTCCCACCCCCACAAGCAATTTCCTTAGAAACAATAAAGGCTATGATGAGATTTCTAGCAAATTATTATTATTATTATTATTATTAGTAGTAGTAGTAGTAGTAGTAGTATATAAGACAGGATCTCACCCTATACCTTCAGACTGGAAATTCTCTTAGATAGCCAAGGATGACCTTAAACCCTCCTGATTCTTCTGCCTCTACTTCCAGAGGCTGGGATTTCAGAAGGCCTACAATGCCCAGCTTAGTTCAAATTCTACTTTGTTTTGTTCTAGTTTCGAGACAGGGTCTCACTATGTAGACCAGCCTGGCCTTGAACTCACATGTATTCAGCTGCCTCTGCCTTTCCAGTGCTGCATTTAAAGGTTTGCACCACCAGACTCAGCTCAGTTCAAATTTGTAGAGTCTCTGTCTTCATTCAACCCCAAATGATAATCTAGGTCTCTCTCTCTCTCTCTCTCCTTCCCTCCCCACCTCTGTCTCCCTCTCTCCCCTCTCAGTTTTCAACACAGGGTTTCTCTGTGGGAGGTCCTAGCTGTCCTGAAACTCACTTTGTAGACCAGGCTGGCCTTGAACTCACTGAGATTCACAGCCTCTACATTCCAAGTGCTGGGATTAAAGGTGTGAGCCACTACCACCTGGCTTAATCTAGGTCTCTTTATTTAGAGTATAGTTCATGGACTATCATCAAATCACCTGAAAGTTTGCTAGAGTACAATTTCAACCTGTGCCAGATCCAGATCAAAATGTGTATTTCCATAGCCTTGCAGGGTGATTCCTGTTTATGGTAAAGTTTGAAAAGAATTAATCCATGCTGGGTTGGTGGTACACGCCTTTAATCCCAGCACTCGGGAGGCAGAAGCAGGCAGATCTCTGTGAGTTCGAGGCCAGCCTGGTCTCCAGAGAGAGTCCCAGGATAGGCTCCAAAGCTACACAGAGAAACCCTGTCTCGAAAAACCAAACCAAAACAAAAACAAAAATAAAATTAATCCAGTGAGCTAAGGGTTTCTCTTCCCTCCCCCTCCCAGTGGATTGGAATATTTTTTAAACATTCTGTGTTTCAATACAGTGCTGCTGTTAACATATTGGGTGCAATAACACAGGGTTGTGAGTAGTTGTTGAGGTAAGGGTTGACTCTCGTGTTGTGTTGTTTTTCGGCATCATCCCTGCCTGGCCTCTAATTATTAGATGTGGGTAGCATCTCCTCCTAGACCAGTTGCAACTCTAAAACGTCTCCAAGTTAGTCATTATTACACTTCTTAAAATTTCTTTTGAAAAAATATTTATTCAATTTATTTTATATGTGCTTTTTCAGCATGTGTATCTATGCACCGAATATGTACTTGTGGAGGTCAGAAGAGGGCATTGGATTCCCCTGGATCAGGAGTTATAGATGATTATGAAGCACTGTGTGGGTTCTGGGAAACAAAGCCAGGTCCTCTCAAGAGGAACAAGAGCTCTTAACCACTGAGCATCTCTCTAGCCCCTCGTTATTACACTTTTTTTTTTTTTTTTGAAACAGGGTCTCTCTCATAGCTTTGGTAGTACTGAAGCTATTATACTTTCTATTGCTTATCTTCATTTTGACCCACCTATAATGTGCTCTGATTCTGACATTGGCAGACAATGCTGTGGGCTTTTTTTCTGTTTGGTTTTTGGCATTAGGGATTGAACCTAGGGCATTGTGCATTCTGGGCAGGTGCTCTCCTGCTGAGCATAGCCTTAGTCCTTTTTAAAATTAACTAATACTTAAATTTATTTATTTGGATGTTAGAAATAGGGTCTCACGTAACTCAGGGTGGCCTTTCTTTTCTTTTCCCTTTTTCCAGCTCAAGGCCAATTTTAATAGAATTTAAAAAGAAAAGCCCCTAGGGCAGGGAAACTGTAGTTCCTACCAGCTGCTTCTGATCCCATTGCAGGAGGAGAATGGGGAAGGTAAAGAGCCATGAATTAAGCTGGCATAGAGGTCAGACAGTCAGAGGACAAGCAGCCATGTGATGGTGGAGGAGCTCTAGAAAGAGTATGGAGCCCAAGGGATCAGAACAAGTATCTCAAGCTCTGGCCAGCATCTGGAAGAGAAGAGCTGTGCTTCTCTGATGCAGGCCTCCAAACAACAGCTCAGCCCAGGAAACCTCACAGGGCTTGGGGGGACTGCCTCTTTTTTATTTTTCTTTTTTCTTTTTTGAGAAACGGTCTTACTATTTTGCCCTGACTGGTCTGAAACCCATTATGTAGATCAGGTTAGGCTTGAACTCATAGAGATTGACCTGCTTCTGGCTCCTTAATTAAACAGTTGCACCACTGGGCCTGGCTGGCCTGAACCTTTACACATAGTTGGTTTTGAACTCTTGATCTTCCTGCCTGGATCTCCCAAGTGCTAGGATTACAGTGTCAACACAATGCTGGCTTTTTAAAATTATTATTAAAGGTTCATATTTTGTATTTATCTATCAATCAATCTATTGGGAGAAGGCATGCCATACCTTGCATACAGAGTTTAGAGGACAACTTTTTTTTTTTTTTTTTTTTTTTTTTGGTTTTTTGAAACAGGGTTTTTC